ACACACACACACACACACACACACACACACACACACACACACACACACACAGAGGTGGACTGAACTTCAATTTGAATGCCAATCTGCTGCAGCATATCCTGAACTCATTTCAGTGGAGTAGAGAGATTTTCACCAAATACGCTTCAGGAAAAAAATATTATTTAAGCCTAGACTTCATGGTGTATTCCTGTTATGCAAAGCCATATAGCTATTTAAGAACCGATTTGAATAAAAGGTGAAGCCAGTGCCCTTAGATGGACATAAACTTTTCCCTGTGGATGCAAGGGACAGAAGAAGGAGCAATATCCTCAAGCTACAGCACAGGAAATTTAGGTTGGAGATTAAAAAGACCTTCCATTTCCTATGAGAGGGGTCAACCATTGGGACAGCCTACCTGAAGAGGTTGTGTCTTTCCATCCCTAGGAATTTTCAAGAGCAGATTGGACAGAAACTTGGCTGAGATGTTTTAGTGAGGGATGATCCTGCCTTATGAGATTATCTAGGCTAGTCCCCTGCTTAAGGTCCCTTCCAGCCCTACTTTTCTATGAACGTATTTCAAAATTAAAAGCATGTTTCTTAAAGTACTAATGATACTACTTAATGTCTAGAGTAGAGATGATGCAAAAAATTAAGTGGGAAACAGATGAGACTAGCAAATACCAGTATATTCAATGCTGCTTCTGTTGAAATCAGTTTCTACTGTGGTTTTACCAACAGTTAGGATCCTTTATCTGTGGGATGGAAAGAGCTTCAATCCCAATCAATACACTCTTCTAGAAGCTTTTCCATCATATTTACAGGGAACACTGCAAACTCATCTAATAAAATTTTTTGATTAATTAAAAAATGCTGCTATTTCATTTTAATATTGATAAAAGCTAACATTTATTTTAGGTCTCCTTAATTTGTATAGAACAAGGAGATTATTATTTATGTCTTGAAAAAAATTTACTGAAGAACTGTTCTTCCACCTTCAGCTTAGACCAAGTTTTAAAGATCAGAGTCTACACACTTAAATTAGATGCATAAAATCAAAGTGTTCACATAGAGACTTGATTCATACTCAAGACACATACCCGATTCCTGAGGAAGAACTTTTCCTTGTGAAAGAACAGTATTTAAAAGCCACACCCATGAAAATTCTATTGTCGCACTGAGTGCTTTGGAAAGAAGTAAATCTAATGTCTTGAAACAGAAATTCTTTAAACAAATTTATCTTGCCCAAAAGACTATTTCTGATCAAAACTTTGGCTTGTTTATAAATCTGTCTTAGTTATACCCTACATATCAGATACTGAGTGCCACCTAACCTAACTCAGTGATTAGATGGGTACTGGGAGCCTGATTCAAGGTAAATTGGGGTAGGGACAGGGGCACATGGGATTGGGGCTAGCAGGACTACAGGGGGAGGTTGGCAGAATTATGGGGGCTGGTCAGGGTTTGGGGGGTTGGGGATCTAGGGGGTCAAGGGGGGG